TYMAAWKSMARRAMCCGAAGGTCTCGCAGAAGATCCCTCCTAAGGGTGGGTTTCCTTCTTCTCAATCTGGGGCCTCTACGAGCTCCAGCTCGGGAAACACTTAGGGCCAGTAGAAGTTATAGCTGCTTCTACTCTCGTTGAAGCGGGTGATGTACCCTCCCCGTTTCAAGAGATGGCCAAAGCTATTGACTCCTTAGTCACCCCGCAGACGCATCCGAACCCAACTATACTCTGTACGTTGGATGTGTCTGAGGCCTTAGAGGACCTTCAAGGTGAGTGGTCGGCAAGGGATCCTCGTGAGTCCTGGGTGGCACTGAGTAGAGGTCCTAGAGGGGAGCATTTCGTTGTGGAAGTTGATGTGGGTGGTCGCAAGTGTGGCGCCTTCGTAGGCATTGGCTCCACACGAAACTTCATAAGTTGCGACTGCGTTGACAGATTGTGCCTAAAGGACCGGGTGCAGCGCCTTAGTAGACCGGTAGCATCTACTTTGGCCAACAAAGAGCGCATGGTGGTGGAGGACTACGTTAAAGATGTAGTCTGCACCTTTTCCTACGCAGGAGGAGAAATAAACCATAAGATATCATTCCTGGTGAGCGACGGTTATTGGGCATGTACTACCTCGAGGTTGCCAAGCCCGAGTTTGACTGGGACAAGAAGGTATTGAAGCACGAGTTGCCTAGTGGGAGAACCGTGAGACTGGCCAAGTACAAAGCCAGTAGGTTAGTAGAAGGTGCTTATGCGCATCTGCCTTTTAGAACTATTATAAACAGAACCAAGAGGAAGGGATGTACTTGGTCTATGTCTTTGCGAAAGAGGAGGCCGTTAAAACACCCCCAGAGATAGAGACCATCGTCGCCAAGTACCCTAATCTGTTCGAGGAGCCTACAGGAGTCGTAGACAGGGAAATTGTCCATGCCATAGAGATCATCCCAGGTAGTAAAACACCTAAGGGTAGAATCTATAGGATGACTCCAGCCGAGTTGGACGAACTTCGGCGGCAACTGAAAGAGCTCACAGAGAAGGGTTGGATTCGGCCTAGCACTTCCCCCTTTGGCTCACCAGTATTGTTTGTTCCAAAGAAAGGGGGAACACTAAGGATGTGCATTGATTATAGAGGCCTCAATGCCATCACCGTTAAGAACGCAAAGCCTCTACCACGAATCGACGACCTATTGGATAGGGTGCAGGGATGTAAGTACTACACAAAGATAGACTTAAAATCCGGCTACCATCAAATTGCCATTAGACCAGAGGACCAGCACAAAACCACATTTCAGACCAGGTACGGTCTGTACGAGTTTGTGGTGATGCCCTTTGGCCTTTGCAATGCGCCGGGTAAATTCCAGCACGCCATGAATAGGATCTTCCATGACTACTTGGATAAGTTTGTTGTCGTGTACCTCGACGACATACTTATTTTCAGTAGATCTGTCGAGGAACATGCTCAGCATGTAGACACAGTACTTTCACTCCTTCGGCAACACAAGTATAAGATAAACGTAGAAAAATGCGAGTTCGGTCGCACTCGAATCTCGTACTTGGGTCATGAAGTATCCGCGGATGGCATTAGGCCCGATGATGCAAAGGTGGTCAGCATACGTGACTGGCCACGACCCCAGCATGTGACCGAGGTCAGATCGTTCTTGGGAATGTGTGGTTATTACCGCAACTTCGTAAAGAACTGTAGCATGATTGCGTCTCCCTTGACCGATCTAACTCGACTTGACACACCATGGGACTGGACCGACGAGTGTGAAGCAGCATTCAAACGTTTGAAGCATGCTCTCACACACCATGAGATTCTCCTGGTACCCGATCCGCAAAGGCCATTTGTTGTAACCACTGATGCCAGCCAATATGGCATTGGCGCAGTGCTGGCTCAGCAGGACGGGAAGAAGTTGAGACCGGTCGAGTACATGAGCAAAACGATGCCATCAAAGAAGTTGGCAAAGTCCACCTACGAGAGGGAACTCTATGCTCTCTACAAGGCACTTGTCCACTGGAGGCACTAATTGTTAGGGAGGTTCTTTTATCTGAGAACTGACCACCAGACTCTCAAGTGGATCAAGACGCAACCGGTTCTTTCCGATGCACTCAAATGTTGGGTTGAAGTCATAGATCAGTATGACTTCAAACTAGACTATGTGAAGGGAGAGTACGACAAAGTCGCAGATGCGTTGTCTAGAAGGGCAGATTACCTGGGTGCGCTGATTTATGAGTTTGGCTTATCTGAGGGTGTAACTCGATCGTTGGATGAAGCCTACAAGGAAGATCCCATCATGATGGACATCATCAACAAACTAAAGGCTAAAGACAAGGCCACCTCTGATAAGTCTGTGATGGTGGATGGGTTGCTCTTTCTTGAGAAGGCAGGGTTTAAGCGGTTAGTTGTTCCAGCTAGGGAAACTTTGCGTAGTTTGTTTTTAGGAGAGTGCCACGACGCAACAGGACATTTCGGTTATAAGAAGACTAGTGCTAATCTAGTACAACGATTCTGGTGGCCTAACATGCTTGACGTTGTGAAGAAGTATGTGGAGACCTGTCACGTCTGTCAGCGGGACAAGCCGCGAACTCAAGCTCCACTTGGGTTACTCGAGCCTTTACCCATTCCTGCTGGCCCAGGCCAGAGTATCTCCATGGATTTCATGGATACTCTTATGACCAGCAAGAATGGCAAGAGGCACATTTTCGTCATAGTGGACAGGTTCACTAAGTACGCTAGACTAATCGCCATGCCAGAGGCTGCCAGGACTAAGTACGTCATCAAGTAGTTCATGGACAACTGGGTGCGTGACTTTGGACTTCCAAAGACATTTGTTAGTGACCGAGATGCGAGATTCACAAGCGAGATGTGGAAGAAGGCCGCTGAACAGATGGGCAGCCAGCTTCAAATGACTGCTGGGAATCATCCCGAAGCAAATGGGCAGGCTGAACAAATGAACCGAGTGGTGCAGCATCTGCTGAGGCATTACATCAAGCCCAACCAGGATGACTGGGATGAGAAATTATCTCTCATCGCCAGCTGTACAACAATGCTGTACACAGCACCACCGACGTCAGTCCTAATCAACTACATCTCGGGTGGAAGCCTAGATCTGCTCTAGACTTCCTCCTGCCTGAAAACCGAACTGCTGCAACTCCTGGAACCATTGAATTTGGTGTCCAGTATGAGAAACTGTTGCAGCAGACTGTCGAACACATCAAGAAATCTAAGGAAGCCATGATTGCTTCTGAGAACAAGCGTCGCTGACAGTCCACATTTCAGGTAGGGGAACGTGTCTGGGTCAAGGCTAATGAACTGGGACAGGAGTTTGGCATCTCTAGAAAACTAATGCCTCAGTATTTCGGTCCCCGGGAAGTCTTGGACATTGTGGGGAATGATTTGGATGGTCCATCGTACGTCATTCGTATCCCTGGTCACTTACGCACTTACCCTGTTTTTCATGCCTCCAAGCTTCCACCTTTCGCTGAGACAGCACAGTTCCCATCAAGGAGATCTATGCTTCCCCCAACCATGGATGGCCACGTGGACGTCGACGACATCCTGGATCATAGAGATACGCCTGTTCCCAAGCCACCTGGCAGGGGAAGACCTCCGAAACCTGCAAGCGAATCCAGAGTTCATTTCAGGCATCACACTGATCCGAAGGAAGATCGATGGATTTCAAGGGAGGAACTGATTAAGACAGCTCCTTAGATCGTGGCAGATCATGAGAAGAAATTAAAGGGGAAGGCTCCAGCATGAAGCATCTCAGCGGACTTTCGAAGCTAAGGGGGATGGAATGTGAGGAACGAGCCCTCAAGGGGCCCTATCAGACATCGCATGTTCTGGGCTAAGGCCCCAGCAAGGCAAGTGCCCGCCCTAAGTGAAGGCGGGCCTGAATACTCGTCACAGGCCAAAATTCGACATTTCCATATGTGGGTATTCAGGCTCTTGCGGCGCGTCAGTTGGTTGAGTGAACGCGCGAGCCTCACTAAGCTGCGTCGTACAGTTGGCCCAGGCCACGAAAGTTGTGCCTGGGCACCTACACACAAAGCAGGGCCGATACATTGAGAAGCAGGTCGTCGGCCTTTGGAAAACCAGTACAGCCGACGCATCTACCTTGGGGCCCTGCGCAGCTGCAGCTAACAGCCCAAGTCCGGAGACTCAGGCCGCGCCCAACTGTAAAGGGCACAGCCCTCAACTGTAAGTCTCGGCCTGAGCACAGGGTCTGAGGCCCAATCGGAAGCTACTGGAAGCTTCCAGCCAGGCCACACGCAGCATCCAGCAGGCGGTCACTTCCATAAAGGAAATGAGGCAGCCCAGGCCAGGCATTCTGGCCAGCGTTAGCTATGCGGAAGTGCTGTTGTGTTGTCGCTTGATGCTGCGCTGCTGCCAAGGGCGCTGACGGAGCGCAAGAGGTGAGGTGGGGCGTTGCAGGGCAGCGGGGCGCAAGCAGCCATAGCCGGGCTGCTGGGCGCTAGGGGGTACAACGGATGATCAGGTGGTCTTCAGGGTGTGAAGCGTTGTGTGGGATAATCAAGGTCTGATTGAGGGTGACGAGATCCGTACCTGGTACATGAAGAGAGGTCGCCGATGGTGTGGACAGTCATGTACATTGGTCTTCGTGAGCCGAAGTGATCCTGTTGTGTGAACCAGCTGTAGAGTAGGATAGTGTTGTAGAGTAGGCTGGGCGCTGTGCGCCAGACAGAGAGAGCGACTCTGGATACTGTGTTGGTGTGATGTGATGTGGGACACAGCAACTTCGTTAGCAATCATTAATCGATACGACTGTGACCGGAGATATCAAACTGACAGAAAGTTGATAAGTAAGACTAGAAGAGACAGGGAATTGACGACAAACAGACAGATGACGATAGGTAGAAGATGGACAATACGCAAATAGGAAAAAACTCCCGAACGCGACTTAATGCAAAAGATATAACCATGAAGCATAGCAGTAGTGACCCGACTAGTTTCGGCTGGCCCGCCAACCAGCCTTCATCAGGGGTCTTGGTCGTCGTTGCAAGTGTGCATTGATACGAGACGACTACGTATTTATCCTAGGAATAGAAACGTCGGAAGAAACCGATGTCACCAAAGGCCTTACGCAGCCAACGTCTAGAAGTGTCAAGGGTACTACTTGAGTCCTCAAAAAACAGTCAGACTTCGAACCATGGTCCAATTATCGAATCAGAAATAGGGACCCAAGAGTAGGAATAGCTTGCACTAAACAATAGGACCGGTTCTACCAAAAAAGGACCACGAACCTGCAAACAACCATGTACTGTCCGGCGGAAACAGCTACACTCTGACCCGAAAAACAAGAGAAATTCCCTCTGCGGAAACAGTCAAACTTCAAACCGTGGTCATAAAATCAGTGATAGGGGCCCGAGAGTAGAAATAGCCTGTACTAAACGATAGGACCGGTTCTCCCAAAGAGGTAATACCAAGCATCGGGAAATCCCTCTCCTGCAAACGACCATGTACTGATTGGCGGAAACAGCCACACTCTGACCCCAAAAAAACAAAAGAAATTCCCTCTGCAAAAATACTTCATTGTATTGCTCTTTATGGATGGTTTTCTCGGTGCATTTATGTTGGTGTGGCCTACGGGCTTGGACATTGGCTCAATACTTCATTGTATTGCTCTTTATGGATGGTTTTCTCGGTGCATTTATGTTGGTGTGGCCTATGGGCTTGGACATTGGCTCAATACTTCATTGTATTGCTCTTTATGGATGGTTTTCTCAGTGCATTTGTACTCTCTACTTGGGATACTACTACTTGCTCAGCTGTGTGATTTCACAACTTGGTTTTATGTATATCGCTCACACTCATATTCCTTGCACTTCCTAATTCTTTTCAGATTTTTTTTTACCCGTAATTCGAAAATATTTTCTTTCAAAATTTCACGTTTTCTTGTAAATAAATTTAAATCTAAATCAGAATTTATTTTTTTGAAATTAATTATCTCTTTCTGTTCAGCGTTTATTTTTTTGAAAAATCTTGGCAATTATCTTTATTTATTCATTTATTTTCGAATTTATAAGGGATTGTGTTATGATTCTGGTTGTTCGTTGCCTGAAGGCCAACACTCACTCACATAGACTTCTGCACATGCCCATACATACACAGAAGGAAGGGAGAGGATAGGAGTATCACACTGCACAGGGAGAGATGAACACAGTGGATGACTTGCCCATGCGATATGACAGGGTACACTGAAAGTGCAATTCACTCCACTCAATCCTCACAACCAGTCATAGAGAAAAGTCGAGCAGATCACATCCAGAGAACAATGAAACGATGATAGTCCAAACACAGTATGACACTGTTTATTAACCTCGGAGTCTGATATTGCCCGTACAGGCCCTAGAGTCAGACTGGTTGGACTGGTACCCGCCTAGACTTAGCCTACAACTACTGGGCCTCTAAAAATGCCAACTTTTGTCTTCTTCTGCTAGGCCTCAAGTACCCGGCACATCTACCTCTACGTGGTGTGGTACCTGCCTACCTGCTACTTGAGTGTTTTCCGCTGCTCTCGAGTGTTTTCCCCGCCGGAACCCTCAATGTCACGGCCACAGGGCCTTCTGAACGAACAAGTGCCCTTGCGTGTTACACACACACTCAAACCAACAAGCACTCAGACAGGCATGCAGACCAGCAAGGACGCACACACACGGACTTAGAAAACTCAGAAACAAGCGGGAAACTCAGCAACGCATACATTCCATGGGCAAAACTCAGAAATCAGCTGTGTGTCTCAGTCCGTGTTTGACAGGTCCTAACAGCTGGGAGTAAGGGCGATCATTTGGAAATTGATTCTTGCTCATTCATTCAGTCACCACTGTACTTAATTGTTAATAAGAGGAGGCATCAAGGGTGAATGATGATGGCGGCAGGAAGGAGAGAGAGAGAGAGAGAGAGAGAGAGAGAGAGAGAGAGAGAGAGCTGGCAGTAGGGGCGATCATTTGGACATTCATTCTTGCTCCTTTCATTCAGTCACCACTGTATTTAATTCTTAGTAAGAGGCAATTCAGTCACCACTGTATTTAATTGTTAGTAAGAGGCAGCAAGGGTGGATGATGATTGCGATAG